GGCTCGCTTGGGCTGTCACATCAGGTGATGCATTCTCTGCATCAATGGTGCGCTGCTAGGTAAGCGCAGAGGACGTGTGGGAAGGAGAAGAGAATGGGACAGGCAGATCGCAGCCTGTACGTGCTCAGGCGCCGGCAGCGCTGGATCTGTAACCGCAACTGCAGGTGGCACCTGTGCCGTTTCAAAGAGGATGGCAGAGCCCGGGGAAGCCAGGGCTTAGGCTGCTATTCCGTGCTGTTGTGTTTTGTCAGGAGAGGCCATGTGGCCCACACCAGGTCCCTTACCCCATTCTTAACTCCCATCGTCAGTTCCCCTACCTCCTCAGATGGGCTTGCTTTGTCTTGACCATGTATCAGGTAGCAAAACCTGGTGTGCATCCAGTGCAGAACCAAACTCATCGAGGGGAGGGTATAAACCATCCATGGTTTTTTTTGCCTGCATACATTCACCTCTCTTTTGAAAATCCAGATTTTTTATGTAGGCCTATAGGAAAGCTGCATTTTGTCTAAATGTTCTCTGAGCTTCTTCACAAAAGTGAGGCATCCACTTGTGGCCAATGCTGGCCTTCGGCTGGCTTCATGTGGAATTGGAAGATCGGCCATGTCTCCCCACGCCTTGCCTCCCCAAGGGCTCACGGAATTAGGCTCACGTACTGAGTCTCTCCCTCCGGGAGGTTTTCAGAGATGAAAAGGCCCATTTGGTTTTGCCTGGCTCTCCTCCCCAGCTGTACCCTGTCCCTTGGGTCGGGTCTCTACGAGCAGCGTTTCAAGATGTGTGCATCTATGATAAAGGATGCACACTTGGTATCTGAGAGGCCAGGTGGGGGTGGGGGTGGGGGTGTCTGTGAGCAAGAGAAAAACAAAATGCCGCATTGCCCATCAGCCCTGCCGGGAGTTAAGAGAGCATCTTCGCCCCCGAGGTAAACAAGCACACAAAGGTAGAGGCTGCTGCTTGATATTCACCCGCCGTCGATGAGGCGGGAGGGAATTGCTCCCCAGGGTTACCGCGGCCATGAGCAAGGGCAGCTGTTTCCCAGGCCCGTGCAGCCCCTGAATGCCGTACATGGAAGCTGGAACGACACGGCTGACACTGGCAAGGTGATGTCCGTGAAACCCGGGGACCGTGGCTTGGCCCGCAGCCGTCAACCTCGTGCAGGTTTTAGCAGCACCGGCCGCAGAGGGTGCAGGGTGCGCCGCGGAATGAAGCGCTGCCGGAGAAAACCATTCTCCACCTGGCCTGGTGAGGCCAGCCTCACCCGGAAGGGGCTGGTGTCTCTCCAACTTGAACAGCGTAGGCGCTGGTGGCCAGCAGTCAACAGGAAGTGGGTGATTCCCCGGGAGAATTCTCACCTCCCAGGTAGGAGACTTGGGTTCAATTGCAGCGGTCAGTAGATGGGGGGTGATGACGTTGACGAGGTCCCAGCAGAGCACCCAGACTAAGGTGGGCTAGGCGGGAAGGCCTGGTACTCTGCATCTGAGAGTCCGCCACCGCAAACTGTGCGTGGATCCCCAAGGTGGGGCCTGCAGCCGTCGTGGGCGTGGTGCAGCTCCCGGCCGCTGTTTGTTCCCCTTGGTGCTGCGAAGTCTAAGGAGTTGGGGCAGAGGGGTGGTGCCATCAGTTGCTGTGAAGAGTCAGATGGATAACCTGTGCTCTGGCCTGAGGGCACTTTGGCCAGGAGCTGGGACTTTGGAATCTAACATTGGGAGAGTCCTCGGCAAACTGAGAGACTGGTCACCTGGAGGAGGGTGTGTGTGTGTGTGTGTGTGTGTGTGTGT